GCAATCAAATTTTTATATTTTTGTGTAAATTGTTTGTTATTCATGCCAATTCACCTAGCAATACCAATCTGCCATTTGCAAAACCGAGAACATCCATTATTAGAGATCAAATAAGATGTGCTCTTATTATAGAATTGTCTCTACTTTTAGTTTCATTAAAAAGTTTTAAATGTTTTGCTAATGAAAATTATTTTTTCAAAAAAAATATAATTTAAATATTTATAATAGTACAGTAGAAATTAAAATTATAAATATAATCATTCATACAATATTTATGTTAAATTGGTTTTATAATTTAACATCATATGAATTATTTAACAATTCATTGCATGAATACTTTCATTACATTAATATACTTCAAGTTATAAAATAAATGAACCCCTTATAAACTTCATACTTTAAATGAGCCCGTTATTAGTGAACTACTAATCCTATTCACTCCCTATTTCTCTACCTCTTCGTGTATTGTTTGGTCCAAAACATTGAATTTACGCGAAGAGCTGGGAAAAGGAGCCGAAATTTGGGACAATTGTGAGCGCCCGACAAACCTTTGCCTCCTTTCCGTGAGATCCCAACCCCTGGTATTACTACCCGTTTTGTATTGACTGACTCGGGCAACATCCGCATCCATGGTATTCATGATTGTCGGCGGCATAACTGCCCGTTGTTTCAGTTCCCGATTCCATTCAACCGCTGACCGGTAGCACTGGTAAGCCTCCTGTGAGGGTCGATCCAATTGGTTATACCGGTCGTGGAAGGGGTCGCATAGCGACGGGTCGGCGGCACTACTCAAGTGAGGAGCGCTGACACACCGACGGAATGCCGATCGACAGCCGGACTGTAGGCGACCGGTGGGCGCGTACTCCCAGGGCTCGTACAGTGGATCACTCTGTTCACTGACTAGACGCTCGTACCTTTGATCCCCAATGATTAAATTACCCTGATAATTAGTAACCGGGTGACCCCTTTCTTTTCTACTTCTAAGCCCTTCAGTGGGTTGTGGGGGCGGGTAATACCTTCCGTCTGACTCTGTGTACTGTCTATCACTCAAATACTTTGTTTTTCTGTCTCTCTTAAGCCTATGGTTTGTGTCCTCATATGTGTCAACCAAACTGACGCGAGACGAAAGCGCCAATTCAGAGCCCTTCTGTTTAGACTCAAATTTCATGTCTTTCCGCACAAGTGGTAACTCTTTGGGTGGTGGCTCTGATCTGAACCGTCGCATCAGTTCAAAGTCAGGCCGTCCTGTGTTTGGGTCACGAAGCTGTTGGACAATACGCGGCTCAGGGATTGTTTGCACCTTATATTTGGGAGGATCGTCCCCTTCGCTCATTGATCGTCACCTTTGAAGGCTTATAACGTCGGCACAGATGGTGAGGCCTGAGAGGAATCATCGATAGCTTCACCCCTACTATACACTGTATAGTATACAGTACTGAAGAGCTATTGATTGACGACCTCTGAAGGCATTCTGTGTCGGGGTTTAGGTTTTAGGATCAGATAAGATGTGTATCTTATAATAGAAATGACTCTACCTTTGATTATATTGTGTAAACATGTTAACAACTTTTAAATACAAACTTTTATTATAGGCACTAATAAAAATGCATAAAGTTTTCAAAAATTAATTTATTTGATTTATAATTTGAGTAATGAGTTGCGGATATAGTGAATATAAAATCTGAAATATTTTGCATATGCATTTTAATTTAATAGCTATATTTATTTCTCAGCAGTTAATTGCAATAAATTGTAAAAAATAAGTCCAAATCATCATTTATTATGAATTTTTGTTGAGTTTTATTTTTACAGTAATATTTGATAAGACTTTTAGTTAAAACATTAAAACATTGTAATTAAATTGTACAACAACTATAAAATATGCAGAGATTTTCAAATAAGATTAATAAAAATTACAATTAAATGTGCAGTGTATTCAAATTAAATCATTGTATAGTATTACATAATGAGATGTCAAAGGAAATAATAATAAAATCAATAAATTAAACACATTTCAACATAATATCACCATTTAAGCCATCATTCATTTATGAGATCATTGATTACCACTCTTTTGATAGCAATTTTAGTCGATATGCGTCCACTTCTTGGAGCAATTGGTGTCAAATCCATAACTGTATCCAAATCTCGTGTAATTTCTTCGTGAAATAGCTTTTCATTCTTCACATCAGATTCAGACTCTTTGAGACAACTTTTGTCTATATTTTTGGCGTCCATTTGTGGTCCAACTTTGCGGTGATCGAGAGTGCGAAGGGTATCACTAATGGGACGACTGATCCACGGTCATTCTTCACATCAGATTCAGACTCTTTGAGACAACTTTTGTCTATATTTTTGGCGTCCATTTGTGGTCCAACTTTGCGGTGATCGAGAGTGCGAAGGGTATCACTAATGGGACGACTGATCCACGGAAGACTATCCCCCTTATTGTTGGTATGATATGAGCGCCCGTTCACTGACCTGATCTCAACTGATCTCAATCTATTGGCATTGCTTTTGTGGTTAACAATTGACTTGTGGATGGAGTGGTCGACCACTTGTGGCGAATCAATGCCGGAGTCATAGGACGACGAGTCGGTACTCGTGTTGTGATTGCTGTCATCGGACGTGAGATTGTCTTCGCTTTTATTCTTCAACTCCTTCAGCAACTGAAGACCTTTTCGAGATCGGGCCCACATTTTCTCTATCAATGCTATTAAAAGCTTATATGAAGTCAATATACAGTGGTCTCTAAAAGTATTGACAATAATAGCTGATAATCTACTAGATAATTATTTTATAACTTGTAAATTCACTGTCAGATGTGAGCTTAGCATTAGAGTACAAATAAGGTTAAATGTCAACTAGCCAGGTATATGCAATCGTTTTAGCAAAGTAAAAGCTCTGCAAATACAATAGTACCGGTATTATAAGTTTAAAATATTTATATTTTGAATGTCAAGTAAGTATCATTTCAATAATATGCACCCAAACATCAATTTAAACTCAAAAGCTTTCCACATGTCCTTCAAAGGAAAGTAATTTTCGTGATATTTATTAATTTTCTGTATATCCGATTAATCTGTAATGCAGTGTATTTTCAAACCTTATCTGTATACTGTACTGTATGTCAATTAGTACAACACTTGTTAGAATTGATAATAATGATAATTACATGATTAGTACATGAGCTCCCAAATACACTAAATGTACACTAAATGTACACTAAACTAACATTAGTAAGTCGTAAGAGAAATAACTTTCAGTTGTAAAGCACTTACACCTCAACTCTCAAACAAATCCTCATTCATTGTCTATGATTTATTTTAAACCTCTCTCTCTCTCTCTCTCTCTCTCTCACACACACACTCACTCACTCACTCACTCACTCACTATCTCAAACAAGCTTTGAAATTATTTGAATTTTTATATAAAACTTTATTCTTTATAATATAAAGTTTATATCAATATTAGATATAAAAATAATGAAATATGAATCAATTAAATGAATAAGTTTTTATTATAAATGGCTTGATTTATTATAAAATAAATTGTTTAAAATTAAAAGTAGACAATATTTAAATCTCATTTTAATCAATGATTGTATTGATCCCACAAATACTCGCATTCATCGATCTTAAGGCCGGCATTAAAATTATAGCTCATGTACTAATCATGTAATTATCATTATTATCAATTCTAACAAGTGTTGTACTAATTGACATACAGTACAGTATACAGATAAGGTTTGAAAATACACTGCATTACAGATTAATCGGATATACACACACACACATACATACATCACACACTCACTCGCTCACTATCTCAAACCAGTTTTTGAAATTATTTGAATTTTTATATAAAACTTTATTCTTTATAATATAAAGTTTATATCAATTAGTTTTTATTAGATATAAAAATAATGAAATATGAATCAATTAAATGAATAAATAAGTTTTTATTACAAATGGCTTTGATTTATTATAAAATAAATTGTTTAAAATTAAAAGTAGACAATATTTAAATCTCATTTTAATCAATGATTGTATTGATCCCACAAATACTCGCATTCATCGATCTTAAGGCCGGCATTAAAATTAGTGACAGATTTTGGTTGGTTTGTGATCTCATAATAGGGAGCTATAGTGTGGTCACCGACTGAGTAGTATTGAGGCCATTCCGCACCATCGATCACACCGGGAGTGCTATTTATACAAACATAATATAATTATAATTAAGTTAAATATACAAATTTTATAGAAATTACCCATTCTTCGCAAAGTTAATGAAAAAGTCCATCATTTGTATGGATATCTCTCGTTCGCGATCTAAATACCCGTCCGGCTGAAGGAAAGGCTGTCCAAATACTGGCAGTAGATCACTGGCGTGACAAACACCCATCCAGGAGCCCATACACACAAATCTTGGCCCAAATTTGCTATTGTAATAGTATTGGTATACTTTGCTATGAGTCTTATCATTAGACGACAGGGTCTTTGCAAACTGAATAGTCGGGCAAATGATAGCATAGTCTCCAAAAGCGACACCAATTTCTTGAAGCAATAAATTTTTGTCTGTTTTAGAGGAAAGACCCGTAAAATACATTTTAGACACCTCTTCGCCATTGATTGGTTTGCTTGAAGTAAGTCCCGACGATAATGCCTTCAATTTGTCAAACGCCTCATTGTATGTAAAATATTTGGGAGAAGTCATATTGAAAGTGATATTATCTACGAGTGATGCCAACAGAATTGATCCCTCGTCCTGACAATTGCCAATCAATAGATTTAGACCTTTCTTATGATCACCACTTAATAGCATCTCAATCGGCGTTTTTGTAAAATGCTGGCCATCTACTACAAACATGGGAACGACATCTATTTTATCTCCCGATACATCGAAAGGACTTTTAAGAATGACTGCCAACTTCTCTACCGGGGCTTTCCTCAAGCATTCAATTATTTTAGGCGTAAATTTGTGGTCACTTTTGTCTGAACAACCGATTAGTTGTGTTTGTTTTAACCAATACTTGAGGGCTGTTTCAGGCGTTTCAACCGCTCCGTAGATAAGTGCCGCGCCGGACATCATAATAGCGTTTTGGAAGAGATCTCCACTTTTGGGCGATAGGATGAGACCACTCACAGACATACTGCCGGCGCTCTCACCAAATATTGTCACTCTATTGGGATCTCCGCCGAAACTTTTAATATTAGTCTTAACCCATTGAAGGGCTAGAGTCTGATCCCAGAAGAGAGTGTTTCCAGGCGTGTCATCCGTTCCCCCATAAAGCGTTCCCAACGCTCCTAATCTATTGTAATAATGCCTCAATTATTTTCAAATCAAACAATATTTTAATCATAAATACCTATAATTAATGGAAACTATAACCACATCTCCTCTGGCGGTCAAAACAAGTGGATTGTATTGGATTTCACTGGTCGACCCTATGATGAAGGCGCCGCCGTGTATCCATACCATTACCGGTCTGAGAGCGTCGGCGGATCCATTTCTTGCGGGTGTGAATACATTGAGATACAGACAGTCTTCGCTCCGATTCTTGTTTTGCATGAGAGGTAACTCAACGTCCGATTGATAGCAAGCGTTGGGCCACTGGAAGGCCTCCACCGGTTTGGACCACTTCTTCGTCGGCACCGGCCTTTGGAACCTGAGGGGACCGACAGGCGGTTCCGCGTATGGGATACCCAAATAGGTCTCCAATTCTGTGCCGTTAAATGTTTGCGTGAATCCATGGATCTCTCCGTTCTCTACCAAAACGCTGACATTCTTTGCCTGTATTTCGCTTATAGTGAATACAATTAAAGCTAATATAATCGTAATGTATTTATTGAATAACATTTTTGGTGTACAAAAGCTATATTTTAGTAATATATCTTGATACAAATAGATTTTTACTGAAAGTATGCAGTTTATATACATAAATTTTCTAGAGCTAAACGAATAAAAATGTATTATTGATTAATCCCTTTGTGATTTGATAATATTGAATGTTTATCTAAACACTTTATACTCATTAATAATAAGTTATTATCTATAATAAGTCTGTAAACTGACAAATCGGGAGTCTTACGTAAAACTCAAACCTAATTTATCTTGATCTCTCACCCTATGTTTGCAACTAAAAGTTTACACTAAAGTTGCACTAAAAATTTCTAGCTTAGCTAATGTTGCAATTATTGAAACTCGCAATACAATTGCTAATAAAGTTATTTCATATTAAATTTAAGTCATTTAAACTGAATTGAAAAGCTAGTCATTTTAATCAATAAACAATTTGTTAGGATTCATGAGGTTCTTGGGATCTAATGTCAACTTGATGCTCTTCATGAGATCGATGGCCACTGAATCGTATTGCGATCGCATTAACAGCACTTTCCCTCGGCCTACGCCGTGCTCTCCCGTACAGGTGCCGCATAAGTCCAGCGCTATTTCAGCCATTTTCGTGGCCACTCTTTTCACGCGAACCAACTCTTCATCATTATCTCTGTTAAACACTAGTATGGTATGAAAGTTGCCGTCCCCTACGTGTCCAAACATAGGCCCCAACACCCCTTCACTGGCTATCAGTTCTTTGGTTTTGACGATCATTTCGGTTAACTTCGAGATCGGGACACAAACATCGGTTATGAGAGCCGTCGAGTTGGGGACGAGTGCTTTGCACGAGTAGTACAACTCGTGTCTCGCTTTCCATAACTGTTTCCTTTCCTCCGGATCTGAAGAGCACTCGAAGTTTGATCCGCCGTTTGAGACGACTATTTGTCGGACTCTTTCCGACCGGTGCTTCACTTCTTCAGTCG